TCACACATAGTCATCACCAAGAGGATTGAGGCTCATCAATAGCCCAATCAAGCATCAACAATAGGTACAACAAATGTACAAGATCACATCATAGACATCAATCAAGAGGTTTCAATGATAGACATGAAACAATACTCAACAACTACAATGGACTTCAATCCAATATCAACATGATTGGCAACAGAAGTTGCCAATCCTTGAAGGAATGGACAAACAACACATACTCGCATCAACGACATCATAACTAGCATGCACATCAAACGGGTAAACCAAAATGGTTCCAACGAACCTCAAAGACACACATAAATCCAACGACTCACAAAGTTGGACCATAAGCGTGATTCAAGACACCAAATCCTAACATGGATACTTAGGACTTCGTTCTAGACATACAAAACATCAAGAAGACACCCAAAATCTCAACAATCCAACAAAAGGAGGTCAAAACATCACATACCTAAAGATGGAACCACGGGAAAACAACACCCGACACGCCATAAATATTGTACCCCGCTGGTGGAACCGCGGGTGGGTACCCGCCCGCGGTTGTACCCACAGGGTATAAACCTGCCACCCGCGGGTGGGGCGGCGGGTCGACATCCGCCCGCCGTTCCGCCCGCGGGGAACACCCGAGCACAAATTATTTCCCTTCGGGGAAATTCATCTCCAATGTCAAGTTCAAGTCCAAAACACCCCAAATCTCACATTCAACAAGGAAATGACTTGAACCCAAGAATAGATCAAAGAATAGCACAAGAAACCTAGATACAAGCTCTAAACATGCATTATCACAAGATCATGCACCAAATCTCACATTTACACCAAGAATCATCAATAGAAGTCAAGAATCATCAATAGCAAGTAGAAAATAGGTTTTGAATAGCATGGGTTACCGTTGAAGACCAAAACCTTCTTTCTTCTAACCCACCTAGGCCCTACTTGGAACATCTTCTTCCTCACAACCTTCTTACACAAGCCAAACCACAAGAAAACACCAAAATTAGATAAAGACACCTTAAAGCTAACCAAAAACACTAAATAACTTTAGATCTTACCATTTCCTAAGCTTGGAAAATAGAAAGGTGGGATCTGGAGATGAATGTTTGTAAGATTGGATGAGGTCTTTCTTAGCTTGGGGAAGAAGCCAAGTTTCTTAGAGAGAAGGGAGAGAAAAGTTGTCTTGCTAAAGTGAGGAAATGAACTTTAAATTTGATAGGGCAAGGTTTCAAGACCAAGTAAGGGGAAAAGACCATCGTACCCTTACTTTCCCTAGAAAGGCTTAGGATGTGACACCCCAAAAATCCAAATTCAATTCATGATTAATTGAGTAATTAATCCTATTTCAATTGAGGAATTAATTTCTAAAATCCTGAAATTTAATAGTTGGGGACTAGTATTTGACTAGTCAACTCCAAAGTCAAGTTGTACCTTGAGCTTTGAAGGGAGTTCCCTTGTTCCTTACACTATCTAAAGTTAGTAAGGGTATTCTTGACCTTTCACCAAGTGTTAGTATTGTAACCTAACCTAGAAGACATCTTCATTTTACCCCTTACACTTTCTAAAACATTAGCTCTACCTTCTCTCTAGAAAGGTGAGTAGCTTTTCATTCAAGCAAAGTTGAGACCTTGTCAAGACTTCAAGATTTGCTCCCAAGATTCAAACTTTCACTTATTTGGGCATCTAGGAGGGTAAGATCTAAGTCTATCTTGTGTTTTTGGTTCCATCTTAGATGTCTTTTTCTTAAAAGTAGGATCTTTATGATCTCTTTGTTTGTTCTTGAAGTGGGTTTGGAAAGTAAGCCTTGTGGGGAGCTTGTTGAAGTATAAAGTTAAGTCTTTTAGTCTACAAGAGGTAACCCATGCTCTACAAAACCTATTTTGCTTACCTATATGTGATTTCTTGGATTCTACTTGTGTTTTGCTATGAAATGTGAGTGTTTATGCATTTGTTTTGTGAAAATGCATATCTAGAGCTTGTGTTGTTTTTGTGTGCCATTGCTTGGCATTTTCTTTGATTCAAGTCATTTTGTTGTATTGGGTGAGATTTGGCATGTTTTGGACTTGAATTTGAGCTTGGAGTTGAAAATCCCCGAAGGGATTATTTTTGGACACATGGATGTACCCGCGGGCAGAGCCCTACCCGCCGCCCACCCGCAGGTACATGGCCTCGTGGGTAGTGTACCCGCGGGCGAAACCACGGGTAGGGGCCTACCCGTGGGTCCACCCGGGGGGAACACTTCGGTGTTATGATGGGATTTGTTCCCCGTGATTCTTTTGACTCGGTATTTAGTATTTGGACTTCCCGTTGTTCTTTTGTGGAACTATTTGACTGTCTTCTTGATGTTTCGTATGTCTAGAACTATGTGGTAGGTATCCATGTAGGACTTTGGTGTCTTGAATCATGCTAAGTGTTCAACATTGTGTTTCGTTGAACCGTGATGTGTCTTGTGTGTTCCTCGGAACTACCTTTGGCTTATCTGTTTACTAAGCATGCTAGTTTAGTGTCTAAATGCTGACGTGTGTGTTGTTCGTACCTTCCGATTGGTTGATGATAACTTGTGTTATCGTTGCTATTGTTGGGTTGTGACCCATTCCTTGATTGAGTATGTTTCATACCTTCATTGCAATCCGTTGATTGATTCCTGTTGAGGTGTGATGCGTATGTGGCTTTACCTGGATTGCACGATTAGTGGTATGGGACACTAGTCACCAAGGTATTGCAGCTGTCCTCGTGGTGGGCGTGACGTGATTATGGAGTTATGACCTGTGTGTCAGGTTCACGTATTTCTTGGGAAAGCGTGTGTCGCGGAGGCATGTGTCACCGTGTGTCTGTACGGTACCTTGTGTACTATGAAATTGGTGGTCTCGTTGGTGGTCGTTGGTGGGGGACGACGGTCCCAGGAGGGAAAAGGTTGGACTAAGAAGTATAGGGGTCCTGGAGGTAATGGTTGGAAAGAAGAAACAAGGTTGGGGGTAGCCATAAGGTTGGAACAGGGCATAAGCCAGGCATACCAACTCGTGATGGGTGATGTCGCAAGGGCTATTGTAGTCGGTGTTGTGTGTTCTTCTCTCGTGACGTGTGTAGTCACAGAGGCATGTGTTGCTTTGGCATGTGTTGCCTGTTGTGTGAGTCTTATCCTTTGGCGTTGTGCTTGTCGGGTTTTGATTAATTAAGTGATGATAGATCATGCCTTGACTCTTTTGTGAGTCGTGTTGTTCTTGTGGTCTTGGGATGTGTTCCTGTGTTGTTTGTTGAGAATGTTGAGTCTTATGTTGGCTATTGATCTTGGTTTTTGACTTATATATATGTATTCCGTTTCGAAAATGGCTTTACAACTTATATCTTACCTATTTATGTTATTTCACATGTATTGGTGGGTTACCAGCATTATTCGCTGACCGGGCGTCATCCCATGTTTATCTTTGTGATCTTTTAGGTGATGTCTAGACGAGCGCGATGTCTAGTGCCCGATAGTGTAGCTCCTTTCGTTTGTCTTACGTCCTGTGAGCCGGTTTAGCTTTAGACTATGAGTTTTTGGATAGTTGTATACCATGCAGATTTTTCCGTAGTGTTTATCGTGTTGATAAGCGTGGCATAACACCCCAGTTTTTGGATTTTAGGTTATCTAGTTGCCCTTTTATCTTCCGTTGTGCTAGTGTTTTCTTATGGTATCTGCATGCGTTAAGGCTTTTATTATAGCTTGTTTTGTGGGGTGTTACAGTTGGTATCAAAGCCTAGGTTTCAGCCTAAGAAGAGTTGAGTCTAGACTTCTAAGTGGCTAAGTGTGGTTTGAGACCTCTAAGGGACCTTAAGAAGCTAAGTGTTAGGCTTAGGACTCTAGGATGCGCGGTGAGCTGTGTGTTGCCATCTGTTCTTTGCTTGTTTGCTATCTTTGGTAACCGTGTTGTTGTTGTTGAAGTTGCGATGCCTCCTTGTCTCCGAGCCCGCACCCCGGAGACCCTGACCAACAAGTAGCTCGCTCAGAACCTTCACCAGCTGACTCAGACCATGCAGACGCTCAGTGAAGCTTTGTTGAAAAACAATCACGCTGTGCCGCCTCCTCCTCCTGCTGGGCACCATGATATAGGTCGCTTGGTGTCGGGACATCGGCCGACAACCTTCGCTGGCGTGGAAGACCCGGTAGTCTTGGAAGAGTGGCTACGGGTGTTTGACAAGATCTTCACCGTTGTGGGTTGCCCCGAAGAGAGAAGAGTAGAACTGGCAATGTTCTACTTTTGCCAAGAAGCGGATTTGTGGTGGGTCCATGAAGGTCCGGCTCTTCTTGAAGAACCCAAGTTCGGTTGGATCGCGCTCAAGGACAGAATGCGCGAGAAGTTCTACCCAGCACATGTCCGCGCCACCATGTATGAAGAGCTCCTCCACCTGCAGCAAGGATCCATATCTGTGGTTGAATACCACAAGCGGTTCCTGGAGTTGGCACGTTTTGCGAGGACGCTTGTGCCTTCAGAGCTCGCTAAAGTCGAGAAATTCGTGGCCAGTCTGAACTATGAGGCGCGAAAAGCTTTGACTGTGAGTAGGCCAACTCTCTTAAGGACGCTTACGTGTGTGCCGCCGATCTGTATCGCGTGCAGCAGCTTCAAAGAGGATCGTTCGAGCAAGCTAGGAAGAGGACCGAGGGCGGAGGTTCTTCTACCTTTAAGAAGCCAAGACGGAGTTTCCAGGCCAAGACCGTGTCATCTTCTACTCAAGGACCTATCAGAGTGGAGCATCGGGACCAAGCTAAGTTGTTTCCGTGCCAAAGATGTGGGAAGGTGCACGCGGGCCAAGTTGGTCCTGGTCAGGCATTTAAGTGTTTTCGATGTAGAGATCGAGGTCACAAGGTCGCGGAGTGTCCTCAGCTAGCTGGTCAAAGAGCGTTGCCGCCACCCCCGGGAGCCGGAGGAGCATCGGGAGTTAGCTCGGGTCGCGGAGCAGTTAGAGCTAGGCTACCTGGGAGGGTCTTTGTGATGGCGCGTTCACAGGCTGAGTCGGAGGGCTTGATGGAGGATGAGTTGGCTGGTAACCCCTTTCCTCTAGCCTATCCTTGTTTTTCCGTGATCATCGTGTTCATTGTTGTCTTGAGTGCTATCCTGTGTTTCGTAGTTGTCTTTTGCTTGGCAATCCTTGGCATGTTTTTCCTTGATAGCAATTCTTTTGGGGCTTAGTGTAAACTCTTCTTGCTAAGTGATTTCTTTAGTTTGGCATATAAGCTTCGTTGTGAAGTTAGCAATCCATCCTTGTAATGTTTGGTGACTTGGACCAATTCTACAATCCCTACCCTTGGTTGTTCTTAAAACAATTCGTTTGTGAACTTCCCAAATTCTTCAAGTATTCTTTGAATTTCGAGATAGCCAATTTATGCCAAAATTCCTTCTTGTGTATCTTAAAAACCAAACCTAATGTTTAAATTGTAAGCTTTTAGTTTTGAACCTGAGCCTATTCTTTGTCAACCCAACCTCTAAACCACTTAAGCCAATTATCATTCTTAAAACTTATCCAATTTTAATTCCATCTAAACCTTAAATTCCCACTTTACCCAAAATCCCCAAATTAAATCATCTTTCTTCCCAATTTCTCCCAAATCCCTAAAATCCCAAATTCTCTTTCCTTCTTCTCTTCTCTACCTGTGAGATCATCTAACCCCACCCCCAACCCGTAGGTTCACCGCCACCACCACCAGCCCGTCGCCCCACCGTCGCCGAGCCGCCGCCGACCTGCTGTCGCCGAGAGAAGCCGCGAGAGAGAGAGAGAGGGGCAGGGAGTGTAAGGAGGAAGAAGAGGAGGTTGTGGGCTTTGTTGTTGAGCTTTGGGTCATCTCTTGCCATGCCTAGAAGATCAAGTTTGGCTAGGAAAGCGGAATGGGTGGATGCCCACTACCTTGTTCTTGAAGGTAATGCTTTTGACCGGGAATCTTTTCCTAGTGCCTTGTTGGATATGCTTAGATTCCAAGGTTTGTTGGATGGGTTTCTCGCCATAAGGGCCGAGACTTACCCGAGTCTGGTTAAAGAGTTTTATCGTCACATGGTTGTGACAAGGGAGGGTGATAAGCTTGAGATCACTTCTAAAGTGAGAGGTGTAAAGTTGGTGCTTTCTGAGAAGAGGCTGGCTCAGCTTTTTAGTTTGTCTGCTACCGGAATGGCTCAGTACAGTGGTCATTCTTGGATTAGTACGGATACCATGGGGTACCGTGACTACTTGAGCTATTTGTTGGGCCGTACGAGTGGTTTCACTCAAGCCTCTAGACCGGAGAAGAAGTGGTTGTCTGCAGAGCAAAGGATTTTGGTAATGTTGGTATCGGATTATTTGTTGCCTAATAACCACAAAAGCAGTTTGTTGGGAAAGTTGGAGTGCACCTTTGCCTTTTGTCTCAAGAATATGGTTAAGTTCAACTTGCCAGCTTTGATGTTACAACACATGGTGTTTTGTCGAGATCACAATCGGAAGAGTTTGCCGTACAGGATGGTGTTGAGTTGGATCTTGGTTAGGAAGGGTGTCAGTGTGGATGGTTGTCTCCCGAAGGCTGTGGGAAAGATGGTGTTGGATGCCTCCAACCCGCGGAGTTGTAATCTGTTTCAGATGGATGATGGTGAGTACATCACGCTAGAGGAAGTGGCAAGAAAAGCACCCAAAGAAAGGGCCGAGTTGGCAGCTGAGCTTGGCATTCATGTCGGGAACTTGAGCCTCGCCATTCAGAGTTTGGGAGGTGATGAGGAAGCCGAGGATGAAGCCGATCGTGAGGATGTGGTGGGAGCACCGGAAGCTACCGAAGCTGAAGAAAGTGATTCAGATAGTGAAGAGAACCGACGAAGAAGGGAAGCTCGCACAAAGAGAGAGTATGATGCCATGGCACATGAGGAGCGCGTTATCGCCTTGCTTCGCCAGCAGAACCGCTTGATCGAGGAGGGTTTCGCCTATATGAAGACGCAGTTCGTTGCCATGTATCAGAGGCTAGACCAGGTTGAGGCCAGTTCGAGCCGCAGAGACGAAGATGAGGAGGAGTCTGAGGAGGCCGAGGAGTCTGAAGAGGCCGAAGAGTCGGAGAGTGAGGAGTTCTAGCTAGTGTTGTGGTAATCCTGTTTGCCTTTTCCTTGTTGTTTCCCTTTTAGCCGTTGTTAGCTGGGTGGTAGTTTGTTGCTTGCCTTGTGTGTTTGTTTGCTTTGCTTGTTGCCTTGTTGTTAGCTAGCTTAGTAGTTGGTGTTTGGAGGTAGTTGTCTAGTTCTTGGTTGTTGTCTAGAAGTCGGTGTTGGTGTTTAATCTAGAGTTCGTGATACTCAATTCAACCCTTTGTAAACTCTTGCCAATTCTTGATTTGATATAAGCCTTCTTTCTTGTTTGGAATTCTTGTGAAACCTTTTGTGTTTTGACCAAAAAGGAGCTTATTATTGAACCTCTTGTCACAATGTTATTCCTATCACCGTTTGTTTCTAATTCGTCGTACCCAAGCTTTAGGGACGAAGCTTCTTTGAAGGGGGAGAGGATGTGACACCCCAAAAATCCAAATTCAATTCATGGATTAATTGAATAATTAATCCTATTTCAATTGAGAAATTAATTTCTAAAATCCTGAAATTTAATAGTTGGGGACTAGTATTTGACTAGTCAACTCCAAAGTCAAGTTGTAACTTGAGCTTTGAAGGGAGTTCCCTTGTTCCTTACACTATCTAAAGTTAGTAAGGGTATTCTTGAACTTTCACCAAGTGTTAGTATTGTAACCTAACCTAGAAGACATCTTCATTTCACCCCTTACACTTTCTAAAACATTAGCTCTACCTTCTCTCTAGAAAGGTGAGTAGCTTTTCCTTCAAGCTAAGTTGAGACCTTGTCAAGACTTCAAGATTTGCTCCCAAGATTCAACCTTTCACCTATTTGGGCATCTAGGAGGGTAAGATCTAAGTCCATCTTATGTTTTTGGTTCCATCTTAGATGTCTTTTTCTTAAAAGTAGGATCTTTATGATCTCTTGGTTTGTTCTTGAAGTGGGTTTGGAAAGTAAGCCTTGTGGGGAGCTTGTTGAAGTATAAAGTGAAGTCTTTTAGTCTACAAGAGGTAATCCATGCTCTACAAAACCTATTTTGCTTACCTATATGTGATTTCTGGGATTCTACTTGTGTTTTGCTATGAAATGTGAGTGTTTATGCATTTGTCTTGTGAAAATGCATATCTAGAGCTTGTGTTTAGGGTTCTTGTGTGCCATTGCTTGGAATTTTCTTTGATTCAAGTCATTTTGTTGTATTGGGTTAGATTTGGCATGTTTTGGACTTGAATTTGAACTTGGAGTTGAAAATCCCCGAAGGGAATATTTTTGGACACAGTGATGTACCCGCGGGCAGAACGACGGGCAGAACCCTACCCGCCGTCCACCCGCAGGTACATGGCCTCGTGGGTAGTGTACCCGCGGGCGGAACCACGTGTAGGGGCCTACCGGTGGGTCCACCCGCGGGGAACACTTCGGTGTTATGATGGGATTTGTTCCCCGTGATTCTTTTGACTTGGTATTTGGTATTTGGACTTCCCGTTGTTCTTTTGTGGAACTATTTGAGTGTCTTCTTGATGTTTCGTATGTCTAGAACTATGTGGTAGTTATCCATGTAGGACTTTGGTGTCTTGAATCGTGCTAAGTGTTCAACATTATGTTTCATTAAACCGTGATGTGTCTTGTGTGTTCCTCGGAACTACCTTTGGTTTATCCGTTTGATATGCATGCTAGTTTGGTGTTTAAATGCTGGCGTGTGTGTTGTTCGTACCTTCTGATTGGTTGATGATAACTTGTGTAGTTCATCATTGCTGTTGTTCGGTTATGACCCATTCCTTGATTGAGTATGTTTCATACCTTCATTGCAATCCGTTGACTGATTCGTGTTGAGGTGTGATGCGTGTGTGGCTTTACATGGATTGCACGATTAGTGGTATGGGACACTAGTCACCAAGGTATTGCAGCGGTCCTCGTGGTGGCCGTGACGTGATTATGGAGTTATGACCTGTGTGTCAGGTTCACGTATTTCTTGGGAAAGCGTGTGTCGCGGAGGCATGTGTCACCGTGTGTCTGTACGGTACCTTGTGTACTATGAAATTGGTGGTCTCGTTGGTGGTCGTTGGTGGGGGACGACGGTCCCAGGAGGGAAAAGGTTGGACTAAGAAGTATAGGGGTCCTGGAGGTAATGGTTGGAAAGAAGAAACAAGGTTGGGGGTAGCCATAAGGTTGGAACAGGGCATAAGCCAGGCATACCAACTCGTGATGGGTGATGTCGCAAGGGCTATTGTAGTCGGTGTTGTGTGTTCTTCTCTCGTGACGTGTGTAGTCACAGAGGCATGTGTTGCTTTGGCATGTGTTGCCTGTTGTGTGAGTCTTATCCTTTGGCGTTGTGCTTGTCGGGTTTTGATTAATTAAGTGATGATAGATCATGCCTTGACTCTTTTGTGAGTCGTGTTGTTCTTGTGGTCTTGGGATGTGTTCCTGTGTTGTTTGTTGAGAATGTTGAGTCTTATGTTGGCTATTGATCTTGGTTTTTGACTTATATATATGTATTCCGTTTCGAAAATGGCTTTACAACTTATATCTTACCTATTTATGTTATTTCACATGTATTGGTGGGTTACCAGCATTATTCGCTGACCGGGCGTCATCCCATGTTTATCTTTGTGATCTTTTAGGTGATGTCTAGACGAGCGCGATGTCTAGTGCCCGATAGTGTAGCTCCTTTCGTTTGTCTTACGGCCTGTGAGCCGGTTTAGCTTTAGACTATGAGTTTTTGGATAGTTGTATACCATGCAGATTTGGCCGTAGCGTTTATCGTGTTGATAAGCGTGGCATAACACCCCAGTTTTTGGATTTTATGTTATCTAGTTACCATTTTATCTTTTGCTGTGGTAGTGTTTTGTTGTGGTATCTGCATGCGTTAAGGCTTTTATTATAGCTTGTTTTGTGGGTGTGTTACATAGGAAGACCCCAAAGAATTAGGTACAACCATCAAAGCTAAAGGTACCCCTTTTTGACTTAAATCAATTGACCAAGGAGTTGCTCAATTTAGGTCCTCCGACTACCAACTTAGGAAATTGATTAGGAAATTAACAAGGGTAACTTAGGATTAGTTACTCAATTAATCCTATTTAAAGGATAGGATTTTCGGGGTGTCACAAAAATATAACCTTGATATTATCATTGAAGCAGGATTGTTGGGGGCCAACCCGGTTAGTGTTCCTATTGACCAAAACCACAAACTCGGCCTAGCTAGTGACCAAATTTTCTCGAATCTTGCAGCATATCAGCGTCTTGTCGGACATGCATTCCAGTTTCAAAATGAGTTTCTTATATCTACCTATATTGTACTTAACACGTTGGAGTGGGTTACAAGCATTATTCGCTGACGGCTGTTACACCAAATGTTTTCCAGGGGCAATTGAGTTGCTTCGGGGCACGCTAGTTGGATTTGTGGACTTAGTTTGGATAATTCTAGCCTTGATAAGATGGCCTGCGTGCTTTGATTGGTACTTAGATATCAACTGTGGTTCATGCTTTGTTAGATAGTTTAGTCTGTGCATCTGAGTTCTCTAGCTTAGATGTGGCATAGCACCCCGACTATTATGTTTAGCTTATACTCTGTTTGGGAAATAATAATATATCAGCCTTTATTTTATAGGTTTTATATATCTTAAAATTTAGGGGTGTTACTCTTGAGCATAATGATATACACACTAATGATCCCCAAGTCCAACTAATTTTAACAAGGATTATAATTCCCCACCGTAGTTGGACATGTTAAATATGTACATGTAACAGACACAATTTCCACGAATCGTGAACGGACCTATCCGGGATCGGCGAATATCAGCCGGCCTAATAGTCATCTTGTAACACCCCAGATTTTCAAGAAATTTAAAACCTATAAAATAAAGGTATTATCTCATTAAATCCCAAAACATAATACAAGTGTACGGGGTGCTATGCCACACCTGAGCTGGAGAACCCAGGTGCACAGGCTAACTAACTAATGTCCTCAATAATGTAAATGCACAATATGGCACGCAGGCCGAAAGGGGACTAACTACTTCTACGTTCCGAGTACTAGCGCTCTCCAGTGACTTATTCTTCTGTGCCTGAAAGCCAAATATATCTGTTCAGCGAGAGATGCTGGTAACCCACTCCAACGCGTTGAAATACAATACATATAGAGATATATATATATAGATATACGAAAACCATTTTGAGCATGAAGATATATCCTACGAACTCTAGCTTTAAAACCGGGAACGACTCGACAGATAAGGCTAGACACAAGCAACAGTTATAACGAGCATATGCAGTTCACAACAGATAAGGCAAAGCATAAACAATGATCATAACCCAACATGAACAATCCCCAATATAAATCCCATAGTCACATCCCCCAAGACACTCGTAATCACAACTCGTCCATGTCACAACACATAACACACTTTGTTGGCGCCACAGGACCTATCGCATGCCCATACATGAGGGTCAGTGCATATAGCTCTGACACGGCCCCGCAGCACCCTGCCCCGTATCGCAACACGGAGGGGTCGATCGCAACCGACCGATGAACCGCAGCTCATAAGAATGTGTAATCTGACTGTAGCCATGAATTCCCATCTGACTACAGCCAGCCTCCGAACCGCAGCTCGGGAAAATGTCATCTGATTGCAGCCAGGAATTCCCATCTGACTACAACCAGCTTCTGGACCGCAGCCCAGGATACCGTCATCCGACTGCAGCCAGGAATTCCCATCTGACTGTAGCCGGCTTCTGAACCGCAGCTCAGGAATAACCAATCCGATCGCAACCGAATTGGGGCAACACGCACACATAACACATACCAAGCACATACAACCCACATTACACGTTGGGAAGGGGAATAAACGTATAAATAAACCTATGCGTGAACCATCACCAACTAGGATTAGTCCTAAGGGGTTCATACTTCTTCCACCTAGGTCAACGGGATACCAATTCAACTAGCATGCAATGTAATCGACTCATAAACTTACGAACGGTACCCGAAATACCAAACTAGACATAGGCACGACAAACGGGGTCCGTTG